CCCACTGTCCTTATGATAACCTGAGGAAAGAATTCTCCAAACCTGGGTTTGAAGAATCTTAACAAGTTTATTGGATTTGCTAACTGAGCTTGGGGTGCGGGTTTACTTAAAGAAGAGTGGGCGCCTCCCATTCACAGTGGTGCTTGAAAGTCCACATGCAAACATAAATCCCATGGTTCCCAACAGCCACAGAAAATGGGGAGAGAGCGGCCTTGTGGTTGTCCCTCCCCTTCAAGCAGCTAAGGTCAACCGGTTGGTGGGAGAGGTAATGGGCATGACTCCTTCAGCAGAGCATAGGAAGGAGGTGGGATCATGGCTTGTCACGCAGGGTCAGAGGAACATCTGGGTCACAGTATCAGTAGTGCTAAAACGCTTGTCATTTGAAAAGTAGTATCTTGGTTCACCTGCATTTCACTTTTAAGAACCGCATAAATAGCCCAGGGGTGGTGGCTCATGCCTTTAGTCCCAGCACTCAGGAGGCAGAGGCAGGTGGATCTCTGTGAGTTCAAGGCCAGCCTAGCCGACATAGCGAGTTCCAGGCCAGCTGGGGCTGCAGGGACCCTGTCTCCAAAAGACCAAAAAAGAACTGCATACATATGTTAGTTTGAGAATAAAATGGTTTGGGAGATGCAAACATTATAGAAGATACACACTGTATACAAGTTCTTAAAAATGAAATACAGGTGTATCAAGGTACTCCTTTGAAAAGTATAAGCATGCGTGCATGCCCATGTGAAGGCAGAGGTTGATATGTGGTGTCTTTCCTCCACTGTGCTCCACCTTATTTTTAAAACTTTGCTTATTTATCTATATTTATGTGTGTGTGTGCATGATGTGTGTATGTGCGCCATAGAACACGTGTGGAGGTCAGAGGCCAACTTTGTGGAGTCAGTTCTCTCCTTCCACCGTGGATTCTGCAGATTGAACTCAGGTTGCCAGGCCTGTGTAGCAAATGTCTTTACCCACTGAACTACCTTATAAGCCCCCTCTACCTTATTTTTGAGACCGAGTTTCTCACTGAACCTGGAGCTCACTGATTTGCTAGACTGGTCAGCTTGTGAGCCTCCCGGGATCCACCCGTCTGCACCCCATCAGCGCTGGGGTAGTTTTATGGAGGTGCCGGGGATCCAAGCTCGGGTCTTCAGACTCCTGCCATAAGCACTTTATTGCTGGCACCTTCTCCCCAACCCCTGAAACGTACTTTTAAGTTGGAATTTTCAGCCTCTGAAGTGTTGACATTTGAGTCTAATAATTATCTTTGTCAAGGGGGCCTGCCCTATATATTCCAGGTTCAGCAGCCACCATGACCTCTGCCCAGTAGATGCCTGAAGCATTTGTTCATGTCTCTAGACATGGCCTAGTAGTCCCTGGAGGTTGACGGGCTAAAATTACTGTTGAGAAGCACTGATTTAAAGGATTTAAAATCTGTTATTGAACCCATCATCTCAGCACATTACAATGCTGTTTCCTATTGGCAGTCCAGGAAACAGCAGCTTTGTCGCACAGAACTTGAACCTGGTGACAAGAATTCTCTGGCACCGGAGCTCCCCAGCTGCTCATGCCAGCCCCAACTTAGCATCTGGCTCTTGGCCTGCTTTAATTCAGGGCTCACTAAAATGAGAAAAGGAATCTGGAGGAAAATATAGCTTCCACGTCATGCTTAATGGACTCTGAAAACAGTTTAGATTTTTTTTCACAGTGTTTTTGTGATGCACAACTTGAACTTCTCTGGAGTTGAAATGTTAATCATTATGGAAACTCTGGAAACATATTGTAGCCTTTGGACATACTCCAGTGCTCAGTGGACTGCAAGACACATGGTGGACTTCCCTTCCTCCCTCTCTCCTCCCCTCCCCCCATCTCCTCTCCCTCAGCAATTCTTTTTACAAGTTCTTAGTTCTTTACAAATGTTTCCCCCTAGAATTTATAAAGCAAGTCAACAGGAACATAGTCCCTCACATTTTTCTCTTGTGGAGGAAACTTCATAAACAATTTAATGCTCTTATTTCACAGCTGAGGAAACTAAGTCCTGATGGAGTTTTTCCTTATTAATGAAGAGCAAAATGTGACCCGTGACCCTTCATTTTTGCGATGCTCTTACCTTGGCTTTTTCTGAGTACTGGGATTGCAGACATGTACCACCATGGCCAGTCCTTTTTCTTGTTTTAATAAAAGGTGTGCACAATGATGCATGGTAGTCAGATGGTAGGATGGACCATCCTTGGACTTTTCATAAGTGAAAGTGTGAAACATCTTCTGTCCCTGGTGAATGAGAGAGGATGTTCCTTCAAGGTAGGAAAGCTGGTTTCTGTGTTTTTTACTCTGTAATCCTTCATCCCAGTTCCTGATGGTCCAGACCTGGTGTGGTGCAGAGGAGCTCCCAACCCACTGGGCTGTGAATTCTGTTTGGAGCTGCTTCTCTGCTTGACTTTGTATAGCCCTGTCCCTCCTCTCATATCTCCCCACCCCCAGATGGACTATCACTGTCTGACCCAAGGAAGGTACTCCTGCCTGTGGCAACCCTGTGAACAGTATTGTATCTTGGTATTAGGTGTCTATGGGGCCAACTTCCCCCATGGATCTTTCTGTCCATTATCTAGTGTAATCTTACCCAACCACTACCAGCACTCCAAAGACTTAGAAACCACCGTTCCCCTTTCTCCCCCCCCCCCCCCGCCCGCCACCTCAGCTATGAAGCCCTTCTAGGCTTCTTCCACTGGGTTGAGGATACACAGACATGAGAAGAAGATTGTCTTGCATAGAAAAGGTACAGAAGATGGGCAAGGGTTGCTGCTCTTCTGTGAGGCATCAAGGGGGACTGACAGGTCAGTAGACGTGGCCTTGGTCAGGCTCCATGCAGGGAGACTTCATGGTAGACACACATGCCTTAGGTATGAACTCTCACCCTCTGCTCCCACCTGCATTGGAAGCTGATGTTATAGGGATTATAAGCTCAGCTGGCATTATAGTGTCTCCTCAGGTGGAGCCCACACTGGTTTAAGCGTGAGTTCTCTACTTTAGCATATTCCAGAAGTTCTTTGTGTGTATACCTGTTTGTAGAGATATTTGTCACGTGTTCTGATTTTCCTTCTCTCTTGCCTGCACCCCATGTCTCATTGGCTGTCTCCTACCATGAGCTTTCTGTATCATACACTATTAGACCAGAGGTTCTCAGCAGGGCTATTATAACCTCCAAGGCTGCTGACTGTATCTAGGGAGCAGTTGTCCCAATTGGATAGGAAGAGGCTTCATGTAGAACACAGCACTTTATGGTTTTCACCTTATAGTGTGGTGGTTTGAATTTGAAATGTTCTCCATAGGTTCAAGGTGGTGCTGTTTGGGGTGGAACTGTGAACTTTAAGAGGTGTAGCCTTACTGGAGGAAGTATGTCAGTGGCTGTGGGACTTGATAGTTCATAGCTTGGGGGAAGCATCAAGATTAGAACACAAAGTAGAGTTTCTATAGGACAAGTATCACTGTCAGATACCACTGTAAAGTCCCAAACTTGTAAGTCGAACTTGGTAAATCAGGAACTGTCTGTGTGTAGCTAATGACATAATGAACTCTCCATTTGGAGAGGAAGTGGACATTTCAAAGGAAAAGGCTCAAAGGCCTCTCCTCAGTCTTCCTGTGTCCCAGCAGTGGCCTTCACCTTCATTCCAAGTTGTTGCTCTAATACCAAACTTGAGAAGCCTTCCTTGTTCTCTGACCCATCCCTCCCTACTTGTTTGTGAATCCTGTTGGTTTTGGCCGATAATCTCAGGACCCTGTACATTTCTGTCTGTCTCATCTCTCTGGCTAGTTAGCACCAGGGACAATGTGTGGTCCCCCTTGTGTATGTGTGGTATGTGTATATGCATATGTGTGTGTGCGTGGGTGCGTGCGCGCGTGTGTGTGTGTGTGTGTGTGTGTGTGTGTGTGTGTAGAGGCCAGAGGTCAACCTCAGGTATATTTCCTAGTTCTCCAGGAGCTGCTCATCTTGTTTTTTAATATTTTATTTTATGTGAATGAGTGTGTTATCTGCATCTATGTAAGTGCACCCATGTCGTGCAGTGCTCTCGGAGGTCAGAAGAGAACACTGGATCCCTTGGAACTGGAATTACAGGCAGTTGCTAGCTGCCATGTAGATGCTGGGAACCCTGGCCCAGTCCTCTCAAAAGCAGCCAGTATTCTTGACTGCTTAGCCATCTCTTCAGTCCATCCACCTTCTTTTTTGAGACAGGGCTCACTAAGTAGGCAAGGCTGGCTGGCCAGTGAGCTCCACAGATCAACCTGTCTCCAGCGCCAGTGCTGGGATTACAAACGCATGCTATTGTGCTCAGCTTTTCTTTTAAAGGTTATTTCTCTGTGTGTGTGTCTGTGTGTCTGTGTGTGTGTGGGTGTGTCTGTGTGTGTGTCTGTGTGTCTGTGTGTGTGTGGGTGTGTCTGTGTGTGTGTCTGTGTGTCTGTGTGTGTGTGGGTGTGTCTGTGTGTGTGTCTGTGTGTCTGTGTGTGTGTGGGTGTGTCTGTGTGTGTGTCTGTGTGTCTGTGTGTGTGTGTGTGTGTCTGTGTGTGTGTCTGTGTGTGTATGCCTGAGTGGATGTGCACCATGTATGTGTAGGTGCTTGTAGAAGCCAGAATTCATTGGCACCAGATTGATTGGAACTGGAATTCGAGGCAGTTGTGAGACACCTGATGTGGGTGCTGGGAACTGAATCAAGTGTTCTTAACAGCTAAGTCATGTTTCCAGTCCATGTATGTTCAACTTTATGAGGGTGCTAGGAATTGAACTCAGTTCTCCCCTTCCTTAACCTGAAAGGTTTGTAAGCAGAAAAATGATGAAATTTTGTTTTCCTGTGGTGTCTGATGATACAACAAGCAGGTGCGTGTGACATGCGTAGAATGTAGCTTTTTTTTTCCCTCTTCAGCCTTGTCCTCCCGTTCAAGGGCTTTTTTTCTCAGGGAACTCCCAACATCTCCATTCATTATCTTAAGTTACTTTTTTGTTTTGTTTTGTTTAGGCTTTTTGTGATCAGGTGTTACTGGCTAGTCCTGAACTTTTAATACTCCTGTTTCCGCCTCCTGAGACTTGGAATTATAGGTATGTACCACTGCAGTAGGCCCACCTTAAATTATCTTTTATGTTTTGCCTTGACTTCTAGAAAGATCTGTATTTTCAGTTAGTGTGCTTTCTTGGGAGGGTGAGAAGATGGAGGTAGGGTTGAGAAGGTTGCTGGGGAATTTCCATAACTAGAAGCTTTGTCAGTTATGGTGAACTCCTGAGCAACTTGAGATCACGATAAACTCTGAGGAGGTTTATGTGACCCTTCACCCTGTGTGCCTTAAACAGAGGTGCAAGTATTAAGTTTACCAGTGTCTACTGCTTTACTTGGTTCTTTTTTATTTTAAAATTTATTTTATGTGTATGAGTGTTTTGCCTGTGTATTTATTTGTGCACTGTGTTCATGCCGTGCTGGTGGAGGCCAAAGAAAGGCATCAGATTCCTTGGAACTGGAGTTGCAGACAAATGTGAGCTGCCATGTGGGTGCCGGGAATCAAACCCTGATCCTTTGCAAAGTGCGCTTAACTGCTGAGCCAACTCTCCAGGCCCTTATGTTTTCTTTGTTGTTGTTTCTTTGTTTTTGGAGACAAGGTTTTCCTGTAGCCCTAGCCATTCTGGAACTCACTATGTAGACCAGATTGGCCTTGATCTCACAGAGAACCACATGTCTCTCCCTTCCAAATGCTTGGATTAAAGGTGTGTAACACCATGTCCGGCTCCTTATCTGGTTCTAGTAAATCTGCACGATGCTGTTGTAGTATAGTTGTACGACAATTAGAGAAACATGTTCTAAGAAATGTGTCCTTGCATTTTGTTGTACGAACATCCAGAGAATGTGTATACACCAACCAACTAACTGTGATGCCATCAAATGATAAAACCGTATGGGAACATTGTCTTATATGTAGTTCGTTATTGGCTAATCCATCACCATGCCTGAGTGACTAGACTTGCTAAGTCACTTAGCTGCCCAGTTCTGTGACATTGACATTATATACTTCAGCATGTGTTTGTTGATGTTTTGACCTTACTTTGGTTATTATTCATTAACAGGTAAACAGGTATTTGAAGATAGAAGAGAGGTCTGAAAAGGACATTCCTGGAATAAAGAAAGGATTTGTCTGCATTTGTTTCTAAGTAAGTGAAATGGCAAAATGAATTTGTCATTATATAGTGAGGAATACATTGGTCTCCCTATATTTTCTGAGCTTAAACAAATAAATGTGACTGTGTCTGCTTTCTGTACTGGTAATGATGATTGGTCAGAATTTGTTGCAATCGCCTATTTTTCTAGCAAAAGGTTTTTAAAAAAGGGAATGAATGATGATAATTATCTTTTTTAATTTTTTTGGTCTTTTTGAGACATAGTCTTCCGGTAGCCCCAGCTGGCTGGGAACTCACTATGTAGACTAGGCTGGCCTTGAACTCACAGAGATTCACCTGCCTCTGCCTCCTGAGTGCTGGGATTAAAGTGGTGTCCGTCCCCCCCGCCCAACTGGAATGATGATAATTTTCATTGTCAGTTCATGACAACCTGTTTTGGTATTTTTCTATTTTTGGAGTGCTGTGGATGGAATTCCAGATACCCACAAACCCACATTATTTTTAATTGATCTTTATAATAGTTGGAGATTTATATCAATTTTAAAAAGCAAGAATGGGAGCATTATTACAATGTGTGTGCTTTTGAGTGGAGCTTAGCTATGGCTATATATACATATGTGCTACTTATGTTGCCACCTAAGCCTGGCTTATAAAAACAAATTGAAGGCATCTGACTCTTTGCTGTGTCCCAGGCTTTCTGTGTCACATATGTTCCTCTTGGAGTTAGTGTGGAAGTGAACAGCCTTGGAAGTGTGTGTGTGTCAGCCAGATTTTCCCAGAAACATCTTGCTTTGGTCCCATTCTGAGGCAGTGTGGCTGGTGCACAGCTACTGGGGAAGCATCTTCCTTCTGTCTTGGTCTGGGTGATTTATTAGAATAGAAGACAGACTGATAGAATGGGACCTTCATTGGCTTGCTTGCTGCCTGTCCTCTGCACTCATTTTCCAGCAGGTCATGATTGAGAGCATCCTTCATATGCACTTGATAGGAAAGGTCTCCCATTGCCTGGCTATGACCTTTTGTGTGTGGTGCTTTCCACTTGGCAGACTGCTTGCAAGGTCTATTGTGTGCTTTAGTATCTGTGTTTCATTTCTTGTAGAGGTAAATATATTCTGCAATAAGTGTAGCTCACATGTACTCCATGAGCCACACAGTCATTTTTGAAGCCTTTGTTGTTTTTTTCCATGGTGGTGGGTGTCACACCCAGGGCACATCCCACAAATGCTAGGCAAGCACTCCCCCGCTGAACTATGTATACCCTTAACCTGCTCATTTTTCTTACTACTGGTACTCTAAGTCTCCCTGTGTTGCTCAGGCTGATCTCAAACTCACAGTCCTCATGTCTCACCCTCAAGAGTATGGGGATGCACCACCATCCCTGCATGAAATGTTCTACTTGGGAATTGTGGTAGATTCAGAGGAATTTGCAAACATAGTACTGCGAATTTTTGTTGCTACCTTTCTCCAGTAGACACATCTTCCTACAGGAAAATAGGTTGTTATGTGATTCTGTGTGTGTGTGTGTGTGTGTTGCACTGGGGATTGAACCCAGCGCTGTGTGCATGTTAGGCAAACATATTACCATTGAGCCAAATTACCAGCTTTCATTTTACTTAAAAAAAATTAAATATTATATTTATAATTTTTATGTGTATGAGTGTACAGTACATACATGTACTGCCTGCATGTATGTAAGTGTACCTGTGTCATGCAATGCCCGTGGAGGTCAGAAGAAGGAGTTAAATTCCCTTGGAACTGGAGTTTCAGATGGTTACCTGCCATATGGGTGCTGGGAATTGAACCCGGGTCCTCTGTAAGACCAGCTAGTGCTCTTAACTGCTGAGTCATCTCTCCAGCCCCTCTTGCTAAGTTACCCCGACTGGCATTTAACTCAAAATCCTCCTTGTACCTAGGATGGCAGAGACTGTGCCACTTGCTATGTCTGAGGTGTTTTGAGACCAACTTTCTGCATAGCCAGTGCCATGGGGATCTGTCCATGTTGTTTGGGCTGTCCACAGCACATTGCTTCTACATATAGCTTTCTGTTACATGGCAAGTTGTACTGAATGAATGGGTTGCTCAAGGGTGCGTCCATTGCTTCCAGGGTGTTCCAAGTTGGATGAGTATGCTTGTTTCCCTCCGTGTTGATACTGCTTTGCATGATGGAACAAAGGCAACTTGCTGTACCAAGGCTGCTTGGAGACCCCTCCCTAGCTGGGACACCCATTGCCTGGGTGACAGAAAGCATGTTCTAGTAGCTATTCTACAGCCATCTGTTTTCCTGCTGTGGAGACACCTGATTGCCTTCACAGCAGGCTAGCTGTTCATTCATGCCCTGTCTGGAAACTTCCCTTAGTGGAATTGGTTTCTCCATTGAGGATTCAGCTGCACAGGAAGTCTTGACCTACCTTTGTTGTAGCACCATTGCTGTAAATGAGAGGTCAGAGGGCATGTGATTGAAGTAAGCTTGGACTGAGCCTTCAAAGAAACCAGGCCCAAGTTTAAGTCTGACCTGTACCTCTGCTTTGGCCCCCTCTGGTCTTTGGGACATCTGGGCCTTTGACATCCCTGAAGTCCAGCTTACTTTTAGATTCAATGAGGTGGGTGGGAACCCTACTTCATGGTGCCAAACTGAACGAGTTCAGTTGTGGAAGGCCGAGCTTGAGCGTGCCACCCACTTCCTTCTGTCCCCTCCCTGTTTCCCATTTTCCATCTAGAGAGGTAAGGGTGAGATTCACAGGTGCTCTCTGGAGAACCACAGACAGGAAATGCATTGCTTTCGGGTGCATTTGGTTTACGTAGTGTTGTCATGGGCTAGTTACTTTTCTCAGTTGCATCATAACTGACAAAAAACAACTGCACGGGAAGACTTCTTGATTTTAGCTCACAATGTTAGAGGGTTCAGTCCATGGCGACTTGGCTCATCAGTTCCAAACTATAGTAGATGGGAAGCAGAATGGATGCCTGCACTTCTGGCTTTCTTCTTTGTCTTCTTTTATTGTCTCCAGGACCCCAGCCCTTGGGGTGGAATCACTCACATCCAGGGCAGGTCTTCCTTCTTTGGTTACTCCTCTCTGGAAACACATAGACGTATTGAGAGGTGTGCCTTGACAGTCTCCCAGGTGATTCCAAATCCAGACAAACTGACCATTAAGTTGACAATGAAGGTTAACCACCACAGTGTAGTTTCCTGTTCGGCTGTCATTTTTGAAGTCCCAGTAGAAGGAATGGGTGGCCGGTTCTTACTAATTCTTTTTTATGGCTAAACTTTGAAAAAGGCACAGATAACCCAGGTAGTTCTTGTGGAGAGGGTGCGTCAGCTGTAAGAGAAATGTGCTCTGGAGCTTCAGATGTTCCCCGCAGAGTGAATAAGAACCAAAAAGCATCATGAAGGCCACATAGACTCCATTGTGGCTTTCCTGTGGGCTGTCCACCCTGGTAAGCACCAGCCTGGGCTTGGAGTTCTTTCTTATTAGCTCATACTGATGACCTCTAGAGAGAGGAACTAATCTGTATCTAATTAATGTCACTAATCTGTCTTCCCCAAACCATAAAGTCTCCCAGGCATCCTTTGTTGATGAGGCAAAGAACAGTCTGGGTCCTTTGCCTTGTACTACCCCTTTCCCCCCTCCAACTCTGTGGGTCAGATTCATTATTCTTCTCTTGAAAACATTTATCTAAAGCTTCTGCACTTATTTTTTATTATTTTTGTGCCTGTGAGTGTACACTCCACAGCACATGCATAGAGGCCAGAGGACAACTGTTCTGAGTCCATTTTCTTCCTCCTTTGGGTTCCTAGGATTGTACTCAGGTCTTGAGACTTGTGTGGTTTATCTTGCTGACCCTATTTTTTATTTTTGTGTGTTTATGTGTGTGTGTGTGTCTGTGTGTGTGTGTGTGTGTGTGTGTGTGTGTGTTGAGACCAGAAAGTCAACTTCAGTGTTGTTCATCAGAAGCTGTCCACCTTATTTTTTTTGAAGTCTCACTGGGACCTGGCACAAGCCTATTTGCTTAGGCTGACTGGCCAGTGAGGTCCGGGAATCCACCTATGTCCACAAGTGTGCACCACTATGCTTGCCTTTTTCTTTTTAAAAAAAAAAAAACTTGGATTGTGGGGCTAGAACTCAGATACCATACTTGCACTGAAAGCCCTTTGCCACCTGAGCCATCTCCCCAGCCCCTTCAGCTGCCTCCTTGCATAGCCAGAACATGCTTGCTAGTTGTACATACCATGCATTCTCCCTGTTTCCTGGAAACTCTGTTTCCAAAAGCAGAAGATTCCTACCAAACTTCTCAAACTCAGGGGATAAGGAATGCAATGTGTACCCATGTCCCAACTAGCAGAATGAACACTGGGTACATTTTCCTGTGATAGATTTTGAATCCAGTGAATGAAAACTTAAATATTATTCTCAAAGTCGCTCTGAGTGCTGTCTGCAGGTTGCAAAGGGATTGAAAATGAGGGCAGATTTGCTGTTTGACCTTTCCTGTTGCTTCTGGCTCTGATCCAATTGAAAGGATTATTTTCTTCATGTTTTCTTTTCGTTTTCCCTGCAAACATGGGCAGCTCCCACATGTCTCTAATATGGGACAATGGTTCTCAACTGGGGGTAGTGTGTTTATCCTTCAGGGAACAATTTTGATTGCCATAGCTGGAGTGTGTGTGTGTGTGTGTGTGTGTGTGTGTCTGTGTGTGTCTGTGTGTCTGTGTAAGGAGGGGAAGAGGGAGGGATGGAGAGGAGGGGACAGGGAAGAGGGGAAGAGACAAGTGTCTAATCTAGGCCAGTTTAGAGGTGTGGCTAAAAGCAATGCATGTACAGAATCATAGTTTCGTGGCTGCAGTGTTGGTTAAAAAGCACTATGGTAAGGAATAGCATACCTTCATACACCCTGATGTGTCTATGTGCACGATAACTGCACATTGGGAAAACAGTCATGATATTGTGTTAGTCCATTCAGGTCGCTGTAACAAAATGATAGAAATGAATCTTACATTTCTGGAGGCTAGAAGTCAAAGAGCAAGGTACCCCTCC